ACACACACACACACACTCTCTCTCACTCACTCACTCACACACACACACACACACACACACACTCTCTCTCTCTCTCTCACTCACACACACACACACACAAACTGCTGATTGTTCATTAATTAGACAGTCTAAAGGTCTAAAGTTTTTTTGAAAGAAGTCTCTTCTGCTCAGCAAGGCTGCATTTTTATTTTAAAAAAATACAGTAAAAATAGTTAAACCAGCTGTTTTCTATGTGAATCTCTGTTAAACTGTAATGTATTTCTGTGATGTGCAGCTGTATTTTCAGCATCATTCCTCCAGTCTTCAGTGTCACATGATCTTCAGAAATCACTATAATATGCTGATCTGCTGCTCGAGACACATTTCTGAAGATCATCAGTGTTGTGCTGCACAATATTTTAGTGGAAACTGTGTGCAGATGTTGTGCAGATCCACTGAAAGACTCTACATGCATCTCTCGCAGTGACACACACACACACACACACACACGTATATATATAGCAGCTGTACAGAGGTGTGTTGTGGCGGTAACGCAGCAGGAGTCCTCTCCACATCCATGGTTTCTGTGTCATGCCACGCCGCTGGGTTAGTGCTCTCCTGGATTCCGGCGTGTCTGCTGTGAGGAGAGAGATAAAGATCGAGATCAGGACCCTGAAGCAGCAGCAGACCCACACAGATGCTGGAGCTTCTCTAGCTGCTTCATCTGATGCCGGAGCCGGAGCCGGAGCTGGAGCCGGAGCTGGAGCTTCTCTAGCTGCTGGAGCCGGAGCTGGAGCTGGAGCCGGAGCCGGAGCTGGAGCTTCTCTAGCTGCTTCATTTGATGCCGGAGCTGGAGCTGGAGCCGGAGCTAGAGCCAGAGCCGGAGTTGGAGCTTCTCTAGCTGCTTCATCTGATGCTGGAACCGGAGCCGGAGCCAGAGCTGGAGCTTCTCTAGCTGCTGGAGCCGGAGCCGGAGCCGGAGCCGGAGCCGGAGCTGGAGCTTCTCTAGCTGCTTCATTTGATGCCGGAGCTGGAGCTGGAGCCGGAGCTAGAGCCAGAGCCGGAGTTGGAGCTTCTCTAGCTGCTTCATCTGATGCTGGAACCGGAGCCGGAGCCAGAGCTGGAGCTTCTCTAGCTGCTTCATCTGATGCCGGAGCCGGAGCCGGAGCCGGAGCTGGAGCTTCTCTAGCTGCTTCATTTGATGCCGGAGCTGGAGCTGGAGCCGGAGCTAGAGCCAGAGCCGGAGTTGGAGCTTCTCTAGCTGCTTCATCTGATGCCGGAGCCGGAGCTGGAGCCGGAGCCAGAGCTGGAGCTTCTCTAGCTGCTGGAGCCGGAGCCGGAGCCGGAGCCGGAGCCGGAGCTGGAGCTTCTCTAGCTGCTTCATTTGATGCCGGAGCTGGAGCTGGAGCCGGAGCTAGAGCCAGAGCCGGAGTTGGAGCTTCTCTAGCTGCTTCATCTGATGCCGGAGCCGGAGCCGGAGCTGGAGCCGGAGCCAGAGCTGGAGCTTCTCTAGCTGCTGGAGCCGGAGCCGGAGCCGGAGCCGGAGCCGGAGCTGGAGCTTCTCTAGCTGCTTCATTTGATGCCGGAGCTGGAGCTGGAGCCGGAGCTAGAGCCAGAGCCGGAGTTGGAGCTTCTCTAGCTGCTTCATCTGATGCCGGAGCCGGAGCCGGAGCTGGAGCCGGAGCCAGAGCTGGAGCTTCTCTAGCTGCTGGAGCCGGAGCCGGAGCCGGAGCCGGAGCCGGAGCTGGAGCTTCTCTAGCTGCTTCATTTGATGCCGGAGCTGGAGCTGGAGCTGGAGCCGGAGCCGGAGCCGGCACACTCTCTCTCACTCACTCACTCACACACACACACACACACACACACACTCTCTCTCTCTCTCTCACTCACACACACACACACACAAACTGCTGATTGTTCATTAATTAGAAAACATTGCAGTCTAAAGTTTTTTTGAAAGAAGTCTCTTCTGCTCAGCAAGGCTGCATTTTTATTTTAAAAAAATACAGTAAAAATAGTTAAACCAGCTGTTTTCTGTGTGAATCTGTGTTAAAGTGTAATGTATTTCTGTGATGAGCAGCTGTATTTTCAGCATCATTCCTCCAGTCTTCAGTGTCACATGATCTTCAGAAATCACTATAATATGCTGATCTGCTGCTCGAGACACATTTCTGAAGATCATCAGTGTTGTGCTGCACAATATTTTAGTGGAAACTGTGTGCAGATGTTGTGCAGATCCACTGAAAGACTCTACATGCATCTCTCGCAGTGACACACACACACACACACACACACGTATATATATAGCAGCTGTACAGAGGTGTGTTGTGGCGGTAACGCAGCAGGAGTCCTCTCCACATCCATGGTTTCTGTGTCATGCCACGCCGCTGGGTTAGTGCTCTCCTGGATTCCTGCGTGTCTGCTGTGAGGAGAGAGATAAAGATCGAGATCAGGACCCTGAAGCAGCAGCAGACCCACACAGATGCTGGAGCTTCTCTAGCTGCTTCATCTGATGCCGGAGCCGGAGCCGGAGCTGGAGCCGGAGCCAGAGCTGGAGCTTCTCTAGCTGCTGGAGCCAGAGCTGGAGCCGGAGCCGGAGCCGGAGCTGGAGCTTCTCTAGCTGCTTCAGTTGATGCCGGAGCTGGTGCTGGAGCCG